CGCAACAACGGAGTAAGTGCCTGTTCGTTACTCGCACACATGAAAGCTGTGGTTGTTAGTGGGTGAGGTTTCCCGCGTGCTCATTAAGCACCGGTTGATGTTGGCCAGGCCGCTGCACGGTCTATGAAAACCATATTTAGTGTCACGTATCGCTTTTTGTGGTCACACAAGGTACATTGTAGGCAGAGTATTGTGTCTGGGTGTGCCAGGCTGTTATGGTAAACCTTACCAGACGCATTAGCATGAGGATGATACTATGCACAGCACACATAGTTACTATTTTGCAGATTTAGTTTGGTATTTTTAATGCACCGAGACTGGAAGGTAAAAATAGTACTTCTGTCCTACATCGCCGTTTGTACTTGTTTATACTGTATGTGAACTAATCAAGTCCCACCCACTACCCGCCTTTTTCCCATGATATTACTCTGACTCCATTTCAAATTTCCATCCCTATAATTAATGTGATGCTTACTTTTATTCCTTATTATTGAACCACAATATGTGATACATTTGCAGTTCTGAAATATTCCTCGTATTTTTTGCAAATGAACAAACTGTGTCTGCATTTTGCCGGTTTCTGTTTTATAATACTTAATTGGGCTTTAATAAGTCTGGTTCACAATACGATGCTAGACTTTCATTTCATTTGCTACAGTTTTATTGTAATTTTGTGAACAGCGCAGCTCTCGCTGACAAACTAAATGGAAGTCTAGCGTCCTATTGTGGATTGTGAATCAGGCTTTACTCTGTTAAAGTAGATGGAAACATGCTGGCTCTTTGTATTGCTAGATGACAATGCTGAGGCTCTTGGTAAAAGGCGCTGTTCAGGGGATCAAAGCAGCAGATAGTTGTGAGGATGCTCGGAAAGAGCATACTAGTCCTGACGAGGCTACAAGTTTAGCTGCTCATTCTCATGAAAGGAGGAGAAAAGAGGAAGAAGGAGGGTCCCATATATATAAACAAGGCAGTCAACAAAGTGCTGATGTAAGTTTTTAGTCTGCTGTGCATGTTGTATACCGTAGTATGGCTCGTAATTTAAGAGTGGAAAGAAAACTGAATGTGCTAGAAATAATTATACATCTCCACTTATAGTTCTCACTCAGTTCGGGAGTTTGAGTTTTCAACTGCATTTCTATGTGTGTAAATGGGATCTTTGTTACTGTACCTGTACAAAAGAGTGTTTTACATTTTGGCCCATGTGCTACTAATAACTTAGTTTATTGACATTGTCTTTGTCCATTTACCTGCAGCCACTAAAAGATACTCCCAAGCTACAACAACTTATGGCTTTTCCAATACTAGATGGGTAGTAAAATTAACATTCTTACGAAAATTGGTGTTCGCTACAATGTTTTTGGACCATTCCTGCTAAATGATGATGATGGATCTGTAACGGATGCCCTGAAGGAGTCGTGTATGAGAGATCGCATGCAATCAACCTAGAAATTTCGAAACTGTGGTTGCAAGGTAAAGGGAAATTGCCGATAACATGGGCCACCTTTCTCAGTGTATTGAAGGAAATGGATATGAAAGCCCTTGCCTTGGATATTGAGTCATCTCTCCTGGGTAAGTCGTCCCCCCAGGGGCGACACTAATTATTATTCTTCAAACAGTGTACATAACTGTCTCTCTGTCAAAAAGTTAATTGTAGATTGTTAATATTATACTTACCATGGTGTGCGCATCTTATCACTGTGTTACTGAACAGCTTATGATTCTTATCATCAGTATTGAAAAAAGTGTAACGTGTAATGTCCCCTGAACCAAGCTGCATCAATGAATTAAGCAACCCTCAGATACCTCAAAAGTTACTTCGGTGGGGGAGGAGGGAGCATTGTAGCCGAGGGGAGAGGACTGAGCATTATACGTAGGTTGAGGGAGGAGGAGGGGGCATTGTAGCCGAAAGGAGCATTATAGGTCAAGATTGAGCAGGAAACAAAAGGTGTGCAAGCTCGTGTAGTCTCGATTAGGCTCTAGGAGCTTAAAATAAAAAGCAAAAAACAAGCATGTTTGCTATTAGCAAGTATGGGAGCTCTAGGAGCTCAAAATACCGGTAAATTGTCAGTTAGGCTCTGGGAGCTCAAAATAAATACAGAAAGCAAGCATGTTTGCAATTAGCAAGTATGGGAGCTGAAAATACTGGTAAAATGCAGAAGAGAAACGATATTGTCGCTCCCCAGTGTGAATATGTGCATGCTCGCCGTGCTTCCACTCTTATGAAACCCAATTGTGACGACAACACTAGAAAACGGCACAATGCCCACATCCACAGAACCTTTGAAGTTCCTACCAAAATGATATTCACTTTACTGGAATGCTGAACTGAAGCTTTTATACCTATATAAGCATAATTATATATATATGACTTTAATTTTGTCTGTTTCTCATCCACTGTCATGTGTAATCTGTGTTGTAAGACAGCCAGTATACTATGTTCAATAACTATGAGCTACATGTGCAATTTTGTGTGCGGTTCCCCTGCATGTGAAAAAATTGATCCTGGTGTGTCTGGGAGTTGCTCTCAGTGCTTGAGTTCTGACACCAGACCAGAGACTGGGCCAGTATTGTAACCCCTTCATGAACCACACTTTTAGTTGATCGACTGCTGGCAACATGTATGATAATGACAGAAGGTGAGAGAATATGAGAGTCAGTGTTTCTTGTGAGTGTTTGTTCTGTGTCTCTTGGTGTGAGGGTTCCACCTCAAGTACTCCCCGTCCACTGTCAGCTGAGGCTTCCTGTACTCTGCACTCCTCATGTGCTCCTCTGGACCACAAGAGACAGACAAAAACAATCCTCTACTGGAAACAATCTACCACTAATTTAATCTTTAGACCCAACAAACGGGCTGCCTCTAAATAATTATATTGTTCATTTATTTAAGCACTTACACTTTACATTAAAACACACTCTGTTTATTACATTCAGAGAGTACACTACAAATAAGAAAATTACCAATGATTTTGCCAGTGACACAGACGATGTGCTGTCCCTTCCAGTACTTGACCATGTTGAGAGCCTGCAGGGTGCTGATGATGTCTTCTGCTGTGATGCTCGTCTGGTGGCTGCAGGGATATCATTCTAATGATCTTAGCATGTTATCCAGCAACAACCAGTAATATATACTTCGAGCATAATAGCTAGAGTTTTCCCGTTTTTCAAAAGCCATGCCAAGCTCACCCTAATAATGGTCTATCAGACTATATACAGTGGCAGTGTTGCTTCAAATGCTCTGGTGCCACGTGAAAGCAAAAACGTTACTCCTGAACCTAATTAACTTTTTGCAGTTAAGTTATTGCAGTCGGTCTGTCTGTGTGTGTGTGTCCGTCCGTCCACCGTTTTTCTCGGTAACCGCGGCAACTCTGAGCGTGAAACGTGGACATATTATCAAGTAGGAGGCATGCATGGTAAAATAAGATTCTGGAGCGGAGAAGGCCGGGGAAGCTGGTGAAACGGACGGCTGCCGAGGTGAGTGTGCGTCAAATAGATCCCGGACGATCGATGCTAGATGCTTTGCGCATGTGGAGAATAATTTGCTGGTCTTCCTGTATTGATGGTATTATACAGCTGAAATGATTAAAGGAAGAGCAGTCTCTGAGACAGCCAACCATTGAATCTCCATAATCAACAGCGGCGAGGGTTATGCACTTTCAAGTGCTTTTCATTATACATGCACGCTCACATCCCTAAATGAACCAAAACTTCAGTTCCTAGTAAGCTACATTCCCAGTTGGACCAGTGCCAGTATAAGGCTGGCTACCTGACCTGAGGTCTTTGATGGAGACGGTTCCCTGGGCGTCTTTGAGAATGTCCAGAAGAACCCACGTCCAGTAGCTGCGGTAACTCAGTTTCCCCAGGTCTGACAGCGGCTTCTCTGGTGACCCCACCATCACCTCTATCTACAGCAGAAGACACACGAATGCAGCAGAGTACTGAAGCACTGTTATATTCACACATACTGTAGCTTCAAAGGTATTATTTAGCACGAGTAATAGCAATCAAATTGTTGGTTAGCAGATGTTTGAGTGTATTAGTTCACTCTCAATACAAAAATATATCCGACAAATCTATAATGGTCTATTCCATGTACAGCGTCACACATAAGTTCCTTTTTACCTGTCTCATAGCTTTAGCCAAACAATGATATGCTCCAAACAGAGGGATGTTCTCTGACCTTGGATAGTTCGTAGGAGAGTGCGATGAGGAACTTGCCGTATCCCTTTCTCTGGTAGGGAGGGAGGGTGAGGATGCAGGCCACGTTGTTACTCTCTGGACTCTCCTTCTCCTGGACACATGTATATACCACAGACACCAATCTTGAACAATGCTACATTGTATTATGGGAGATAGGGATATACTCTTTTCCATAATATGCAGAAATTTTTACTTTGATATTACTCATGAAAAATCTGGTACTCATGCATAATGTGTTTTAGCTCAAACCACACTACAAGTTTTGAAGTATTCCTAATGATATTTCATAGCATTGTGGAAACCTCCCTCACTCCTGCAAAACAATCTTTTATCCGCAAGACTAGTTCCATTTACTCTGATATCCAACAGAGGAATATCTTAAAAGAAACTGTTCTAACCTTTGAGAAGTACCCGACGATGTGGCAGCCTTTCTTGTCCACCTCGGTGAGGATGTAGAAGAGGAATGGCTCCACATCGAAGTAGAGAGTCTTGTGGTCGAGGAATAGCTTGGCCATTAGACAGAGGTTCTGGCAGTACACTTTGTGGTCGCTTCCATTCACTTCAAACACTGATATTGTACCCTGCATTGATTACAACACTGATATTGTATCCTGCATTCACATAGAGAGATCTATATGGTATATACCCTGCATTGATCAATTTACTAGATATGCTATTGTATAGCTACACCCTGCATTGATTATATTGTACCCTGTATTGATTATAAAACTGATATTGTATCCTGCATTCACATAGAGAGATCTATATGGTATGTACCATGCATTGATCAATTACTAGACATGCTATGTATAGCTACACCCTGCATTGATTATATTGTACCCTGCATTGATTATAAAACTGATATTGTATCCTGCATTCACATAGAGAGATCTATATGGTATATACCCTGCATTGATCAATTTACTAGATATGCTATTGTATAGCTACACCCTGCATTGATTATATTGTACCCTGTATTGATTATAAAACTGATATTGTATCCTGCATTGACACAGAGAGATCTATAACACTGATATTGTACCCTGCATTGATCAATTTACTAGACATGCTATTGTATAGCTACACCCTGCATTGATTAAATATAGAGGGAGATCTGGTATTGTACCCTGCATCATAGAGAGATGTACTGCATACATCGATATATATATATATCGCCCTGCATCGTTTTATATTTGCATATGCTTCTGTGACCTATATATTTACCTAATTATACGTATCAATCTGTATCGGGTTGCCCTGGGTTATAGGGCGGCCTCTAACAACATATTATTGTGATCCACGCATTCTAATACGTGATTCAACCAGTGTAATTCATCCTACATTAAATAAATACGTCAATCATCATTCCCCTACCTTGCGATATATCTCTCTGCCGGGCGGCTGGCCCCACGTACACTCTCCCAGATGTCTCCTGAACGTCGCCTCGTACTTCATATACTTGAGGCAGTACTCGCATATCCACAGTCGCGATACCTTCCCGTACTCATCCGGGTAGGGGGAGAAATACCAGGCGTCGATCTCGTAGCGACCGATCTGGATCTTGTCGATGTACTTGACTTTAGTGAGGGCTTCGTGCTCCTTCTCCAGGGCTGCCGTGGTCGGGTCCATGTCCTCATACGACTGGATGAGTTACGTAAAAAAGAGGCAAGCATAGATTGGCTAACAAATTGAAACCGACCAATGGTAGATCTAGGATTTTGAAAGGGGGGGTTCCGCTGTCCAGAACGTTTTCGACTGCGCTCGTGTGCGCGCATGAGGCCGGCGACGCATGCGCGCAAAACGACAAAAAGGGGGTTCCGCGGAACCTAAGAAACCCCCTTGGATCCGCCACTACCCATCCAACTGCTAGATTCGTATCGTCCATGCTAAATACGTGTGGCGCGACCAGTCTTGTGCGTGGCAGCGCTCATCTCTCTAAGTGACTCTGGCTGAGTCTCAAATCTGATTATTTTCCACGTACATACACTTTACATACATAATGTAAACAGTCTATACGGCTGCTACATCTGCAAGAAACTGCTAGTTCTACCTCAGTTTGCGCTTAGATGAAGAGATGCGTAGCAATGAATATAGATATGTGGTGTATTCAGTCTGAATAGAAGTGATTCGCATTTCAAACGTTACTACTATAGACACTTTCTTCTGTCCGATTTGCATCTCATCTGTGCCCGTATTATAGGGGTTCCACTGTATACACGAGTTGTATATACTGAGTGTATTATAGTTGCATTGCTTGCTCGTATTACGTATATCGTCTATACATTATGTGTACCTTCTGGACATGGTTGATTTCGTCATGTTTCCTCTTCAAGTTACGAGTCACTTTCCTCTCCCTCCCGTTTAGCGACTCCAACATGAGGTCAGAGTCCTTGGGAGTCTCCTCCACCGGTCCCCGTTCCACGTCAACCCTCTCCACAGTCACCCATTCATCCATACGCCGGTTCACTGCAGAGAACAACACTCACACACACATAGTAGGCCCCGCACTAAAAGTTTTACGTGATAAAAAATTTGGGGAATTTCACATTTTCAATGACATATCCAACCACGAAGGAGAGCTCATTAGCACCAATTCAATAGCAGAGTTTGCTATCACCTGTGTGACTTTTGTACAAGAAAGTGGTTTACATCACAGGCCTAATTTACATTGATTACCACTATAATACACCAGAGTGCAATATTACTGCTTTGGAGCACTACTTTACGATACACTGTGCATTTTGGAGACACTACGCTATCAAACTCAGGCGTCTCCTTCGCTCACTGTCTTTGTAGTGGACGTAGTACTCCGTGAGTCCGTTCTCCAGGTTGTTTCTTTTCTGGATGACCTCTCCCACGTGCCACGAGCCGTCAATACGGCGGACGTGGTAGTGGGTTGACAGCACTGGCTCCTTCGTCGAGGTCGCTCCACTCGGAGTGCCCGCGGGCGTCGGGGTAGCTGCAGGGTTGTTGTCTCCATCGTCTCCCTTCCCTGTCACAGCTGTAGGCGCAGAGGATGCGTTCGTAGAGTCCATTTCTGCTAGAAAAAGTGGAGGGGAAATGTGAACGCACTACGCGTTTTACAAAGGTGGCTGCAAAGACTGATACATATAACATAGAACATCCTCATAATGGATATCCCTCAGAATTTCTTATGATTTGCTATTTGCCTGCCTTTTGTTGTCCGTCAGCGCCAGCCTTCTCTCTTTTTTCGCTTGTGCTTTTGTCATGTGAATGTCAGGTGACCGAACTAAACCACACCTATACTACAGCGCCCGCCGCCGCTCTGACCCAGCCACGCCCACGCCCACACGGAGTTCAGCCGGCTAATTAGCACACTCCCGTGCTGCCCGTCGTCGTCCTCCGAGTGTGCTGCCTGCTTTGTGGACTTGTTTTCCCTCTGTTAGCAGACGAAACAGGACATTTGTTCGCTGGAGTAATTTCGCTTTGACACCAGCGTGTCGGTGAATAGCATCAATCCTTAGCGCCCTGTATTATTGGGATGGCCTACGCTCATTCACCGCCAGGACTAACGGCCCAACACCGTTCCCAAAGCGACTCCAACCTTCTGGCTCCCAAGCAAGACATGAATGGTCTCTACGCCGTGCGGGAAGAAGGCGCCGGAGGAGCTGGTAGTATGGACGATATGGACGCGTCCGAGGCCCAGAAGCGGAGTAAGAACTTCTTCTATCGACTCGTTCGGCCGTGGAAGTGGGGGAGGCGGTTCAGGAAGAAGGGGAGGCAAGCTGGAGGTATGTACGTGTTGCTTGTGTAGTGTACTGTGGTTTTATACGTGGGGGCGCCGTCTAAGCGCGTGCGGGTGGTGTGTTTGCTCTGCTAGCTGTTTATACTGGCACAGAAAGAGGATCCGAAATGTCGCCAGAGGCAGGAATCCAAAATCCAGGGCTAGAAAGTCCTGTATAGTGTTTCCTTGGTGCTTGCTATTAGCTTGTATTTGTGCATGTATATTACAATCACTAAAATACTGCATGAGCAAAAGTAAGTAAGCCAACCTTGTATCCTTGTACAAACGACGCATGTAATGGTAGTACAACACACACATGCAAGTGGACATCAGTTTCAACGAGTAATTTACGCCATCCTCCTCGCAATGTACTTGTACAAACAGTTGTTACAATCTGTACATTCTCATGTACATATCTCGTTGTAGAAAACAGTGCTAAACAACAAGCGTTGTTCCTTCATTATGTGCCCGCCGCGTGTATTGTGTCGAGGGTTGTTACGACGATATAAACTTGATTGTTTGCCCCCTTTCCCTTGAGAATCAATTAACCTTTTACTGTAGTAAGGTGTATACTGCATACTGCCCAGCTAAAGTGTTTCTGCTGCAAGCATCCACAGCTGTTTGCATAGCACTATGACTTTATTATGGGGATAATGTGCCCCACCCTCTGTAATTGCAACCTTACACGCTGCATCAAGACCAGGAACTGCCATCCCGTTCACCCCGGTGCTACATGTCACTGTTTGTCAATATTTCACAACAGTTCTTCCTCTCCTAACCTTATTGTGTTACTACTTGTCGGATATCCCTAGGCAACCGACATGTATGAAGCTAGGTACTGGGGGGGATTGTATCAGCCTATACAATCCTACATGTGCAAGCAAGGTTCATACATGTCACTTGCCTAGGGATATCCAACTAATCTGTTGCAGTATATACCCAGACAGGACAGTATTCGCCCTTACAGGGCTCATGCTGTCCTGTCAGGGCACTGCAACATATACATACATACATACATACATACATATAGACGTCCATAGAAAACTTAGCATCAACTGGGCTGCTGATACATGTAGATGTATAATACATCTATAAACATCGTCCATCTTAAGGGCTGTGTATGTACGTAACAGTACTTTGTTTGTATATGTGTCTGGATGGCAGTACACTCTTATAGAGTAGACAAGACCCCTCCTGTATATTATACTTTATAGTCGTAAGGCTTGAGAATAAAAACTTCCACATTTCAGTGAACGAATAAATGATAAAAATTACTGTGCAGCAGATTGTTTGCCTTGTTTTGTGGAGAAAGGTTTTGTGGTAGACTCGAAAATGGCGAAATTCACATTATCCCTACCAAATTTCCCGCCGTGCCGAGTATTAATTTGTCACCTGGGGTTGTTGATGCTGTTTCTAGTGCTGAAGGTGTGTGTGGGGTTTAATTACCTTGTACATGTGTGTAGGTGTAAGTGTGTGTTGGAGAGGGAGACAGGAGTAGGTGTGATAATGTCACAAACATCCAGTCGATGGGCCTTTGTTGATGCACACGGAGATGGAGGAATGTATATATTAGCTGGCAGTATCATCATCTAACTGCTTGCGAAGTGCCCACAATCCTTGTGTTGAATTTGTTGTGTACAGGTGGTTAATCGTACACTTTGTCAACTCCTCTACATACACACAGTGCTGATATCAAGTGTGGAAATCCAGCCATTGATTAACTGATCACTTCACCGTGTGCTGTAATAATAATAAACACCTGCTAACTTGATAATGAACCAATCTCTCTACACCATTCTGTCCTCATCACAATGACTCGCATGCTAGTAACACATATTAGCTACACTACTACGTAAGTTGTGAGCCCTGGTGTACAAGGTGATAGCTTCCTAACTCGACATTGGTAAGGTAAGCCCCTGTACAGAATATGGGCACCCGGGAGCCGTAATTGTTGGTGTGGCCAGACAATCTAGTACTCCGTCCAACTCTATTTATTCATCTCTTGCCGGCCAGTATACTGCGTGTGTATATGTGTACTGTGTCATAATTACGATGTCGATATTCCAATAAATGCCCATTTGTACTCAAAATTATTTGATTATGCAATTGGATTGAGCTGGTCCCCTAGAGATGAATTGAAGATTTCTAGATGCATACATCATGTACTGTGTATATTATGTATGGTGTATAGTGGTCACGGAATAATATAGGCTTCCAACGCACATAAATTTCAATGGACGAACTACATATATTGTATATACCTACATTATCCCCAACTTATTTTGTCTTCATTTCAACCGGCCTACACTTGTTTTTGCACGTGTGAAATTTGCTTGGGGAAATTGCACCGCGGGCAATTAGTAAACTCGATGCGAGTTACACAATGAGATTTAGAAAACACGTTTTTACACGTGAGCGCCTACTAAAAAGATTCTGTTTGTGTTACGCCTCGTGTGAAGGTAGGTTAGTGTAGCCCATCGTGTGTGTTATTGTAACAAACGTACCTCCCAAATGCGTGTCTAAATGCAACAAGTTAATCCCAATGCCGTTCTTTATTGGTTTTTGTTTAACACATTGTGTCTACCCCGCTGTCAAATTGCGTGCATGCAGATATTTCCTGTTTTTGGCGGGGAAATGGAGAAATCTGAGCCAAGCTAGACATGCACACACACAGCTGTCCAGTACAAACCCACCATAGTGCATTGCAAACACTTCTAGCTAGCTAGGTGTACTGGGGGATTGTATCAGCCTATACAATCCTACATGTGCAAGCAGGGTTCATACATGTCGTTTGCCTAGGGATATCCAACAAATCTGTTGCAGTACCCAGACAGGACAGCATGAGCCCTGTAATATACACTTGCAAACACTTCATTGTATTATATGACCTTAATACATCCTACACGCATGGCGATATGGGGCATATATAGTCCCGGCAGACGAGCTGTACACATATCTCCGTACTAGGGGAGCGTGTGCCTGTGTGGGTGGGTGGATGGATGGGTGGCCTTATTTGCCTCCGCCATAAGCCCGACTGTTAATTTGGCTACCTTTTGTGTGCCACGTCGTCTGCGTATAAGTCAAGTATATTTCTCTCTGCAAGCTGAGGCTTATATAGGAACTGTGGCATACGTACATATATAGTTGTAATAAAGAGCATTTCACTATACACTCTGTGGCATGTAGTTGTATGCAGTATATATTTTTTTATTGAGGTTGTCATCATGTGCAAAACGTCATTGCTAAACGCTCTGTTGTTTGTGCTTAACCCTGTCCCCATGTTATACATACTCTCTTACGTATACATCTCCTTGTGAGTCAGTCACTCCCCCCTCCCAAAAACCTGGTGTTTGTATAATCTTATACTGTATGATCATCTCTATGCTATGCTGTCTTGCTATATGTAATATACTCCTACCGTGACCTGTTCGTTTATGGAACGCTGTACTAATTGTGCTACATTTGGCGTGCCTTTTGTGGCGAGGGATGTTTGCATTGCAGCTCTGCGTGTGTGTGTGTGTACGCTGTCGTTAGCTGGAGTTGTGTATGGCCTTATTGCCAGTGCGCTGGTGGCTGGACCAGCTCTTGACATCAAAGGTGCCCCACTAAGCGACACACTTGTCTCTTGGATGTAGGTCCGTGTGGGCACACACTCTCGCGTCATCACACCCTGACATGTGTGTATTTATACCTATTGGATGCATGTATATACTACGTAGGGGATGTCAGTATTACTATCAATCATCATCGGTGTTGTATAATAAACAGCTCGTACATATGATGGGCTATTGAAACATGATTCCCTCGTGTATATACGTATTAAACACATAAACCGTAATGCTCTGTGTGACGGGAGGCGCGGGATTGGAAAAAAATTTTGCACTTTCGGACGACTTAAATACAGTAGTGTAGGACTGCTTCACTCACCAATGGGAATGTTTTGCATTTACGTGTCTATTCGTGGCGTTGTGCTGCTCTGTGCTTGGTTGTAGTTTCCAGAAAAGCATGGGTTACAGAATAAATGTGGTACAGTGGTAGATACACATTGTACAGAGAAATGGCGTGGCATTGCGATAAGGCCGAATGACCGTAACTAGAGGCCTTCTTAGTTACAGTGTTTTCACGAGGAATGCCGACATCTCCATAGACGGCCTCCGGTATGTCAATCGACCAATTCTCGCATTCTTTTCACGTCGCCACACCAACACACCCTCGCAGACACACCCTCTCTGGCCACACCCTCTTTTTCTAGAGATATTCTTACTCGTTTGTACCTTGATTAACCCCTTGCTGGCCGTGTGTGTGTGCAAATATATGTTGCAGTACCAGGGCTCATGCTGTCCTGTCTGGGCACTGCAACAGATTTGTTGGATATCCCTATGCAAATGACATGTATGAACCTTGCTTGCATATGTAGGATTGTATAGGCTGATAAAATCCCCCAGTACCTAGCTTCATACATGTCGGTTGCCTAATATACATACATTATTCGTCTACGTGTATGTGCCAATGTACCCCTAACAGCCTTGCTAAGAGCCTTGCTCTTTGGAGGGGGGCGGGGACCAAAGTGTGTCCACCAGTGTTTATATTGGGCTCACACGGGTAATTAGTGAGGGGGTCGCAAAATTAATGAACCGATGCCAAGTCTCGTTAGGAAACGCCCAAAATAGATGTTGTACGTATCTCCCCTCTTGATAGATGGGGGGTGTTTGTGCGGAGAAGTACATACACGTGTATGTACTTCTCCGCACAAACAATCAGATTCTGTAATTGAAGGATTCCACTCCTAAACGTCTCATTACAACACTTAACCAGCCACGGACACATACAGAGCCTCATAAGAATTTATATGGGGGTCATAATACTAGGCACTAATACTTGCATTACATAAATTTCTGCTTATTTAAGGAGATACTCATAGCGTCCAAATGGTCCGAAGGGATGGGGTGTTTACCACCTTCTGGCACAAACAATCAGATCCTGTAATTGAAGGATTCCACTCCTAAACGTCTCCTGTGTACCGTACACATTATACTGCTGTGAATGTGCATAGAGATGTACTGCATACCGGCAGTAGTGTAGGTGGTATTGTACATTCCATGTACATTCCTCGCACATGTTTACACAAGTACACAGACCCTGTACGGATCATGTTATGAGATAAGCTACATTTAACACATGTTGTACATTGGTTTTACACCCACTTCAGTTTGTGTGTTTTTAACGCGACGACGCTGGGGTTTTAGACTGTGAGGAAATTTCGAAGGGCTTGTTCTCTAATTAAGTGAAATACAAAATGAATGGTCCGGATCGAAGAGCATAGGGCGACAATCTCAAGGTAGTTCGAAATTACATATGAACAGATTGCAGAACTCTCCTCTTTTTTTTTTAGAATTGCAAGATACAGCTTGCTATTGCATACAGGGTGTTGCGATTGATAAACTGTCATGGCAAACATTAAACCATGTGCGTATGCGTGTATAGCATAATGCATATTGGCTCCTTGTGTACTAAACGGTATGCAAAGTGGGTGTGTGGGTCGGATGGTTGTAAGTGGATTCATAACACAACTGTTTCTGCAGGCAGCATCCACATGTCTACCTACACACATGTCTACCTACACATACATACATAACCTGTATCTGTACTTCAGTGTTAAGGAAGGAGTGGGGGTGCATATGAAAGTTCAAAAGTTCGTGTACACTTGACTGTCCAATGTGTATGTGCCATTCACAGCTCCTGTGTAAGTATACTGTGTAATAGAGTAGTGGGGAAATGGTTGATGATCACAAGACCGTGGTAACTTATGAAAGGCCGTGTATATACTTCTTAGTAGCGGCTAGGCCCTGGTGTCTGGATTAGATAGATATTCCACTACTGACTGTTTGCTTCCACGGCCTGATTGGGTGTCACCTCTTTTGTCCTGTAATTGGGCAATGATTGGAGTGTTAGACTCTGAATAGGCACTAATTAGAATAATGGACTACAGGTGGGCACTAATTAGAATATACATCGCCAATACCCAATGGTGTAATACGCTGTGTGATGTGTACACAAACACCTGTTTTTGGCTATTCAAGGAGTACAATGCTGTAAAAAAACGTTTGCAGCCAATCTCCCTTTCTCCCTTCACGGTTGCCGTGTGCAGCTGTATGTCTGACATTCCTCGCATAGTTTGGAACATAACCCCATTCCAATGGAATTACAAGCTTCCTGTAGTTGCACACTGAGCTATATAGGGACGAGTAACCAGAGTTTGGATTCAGTATATCAGCCAGCGTAGCTCCTGCTTGATTTAGTTTTATTGTGTGTGTAGTAGCAAGCAGTAGTAGAGAGAGAGAGAGCTGTCTTCTGGTTGGTGTGAGAGTCAAGGTGTGTGTTAGTGTTCTTTCTTGACTGTATATATAGTATGTTGTTGGGATGTGTAGTACAAATGTATGTTTCCATGTGTATGAGGCTGCTGGTAGTACATAATGTATACAGTAGCTCTAGTCCCACATGGGGTTGGTATGTGTTTGAAAAAGGCTTGTGTGGTACCTTGTCCTGTAGTTTCAAGACCTGTAGCTAACAACTGCATGATGGCTCGTGAGTTACATGTGAAAGTGCTGTAGGGGCATGTTTATCATGTACATCATCTACATCTCTGTTACATGAACATGTGGGACATGTATACATGATCTACACGTTCCGTCGTGAATCGTGTTATTGTCTTGTTGTTTGGTCTACATAGCTCGTTTCTTAGCCCAGTGAGCTTGTTCGCTGCTCGGTACGTATGTGCAATCTCTGTCCTCATTCATCGTTAGTGTAACCAGCACAACAAACGTCTACACACGTCACCTGCCACAGCTAGCTGTACTGTAGTGTGCAATCTGGTTGATGTCCATAGCAGGGTGTACACGTCTATAATGTTCTTTTCGTCTATAGCATGTAATGATACAAAGTACTGTCGTTACTGTTTGTCCCTGACATGTATGTATTACTCGTCCATTTGGCCCGTGTGCTAGGGAACCTATGACTATAATGTGTTTGTTGTGCGCACACAGCATGTGCTTTTTGTCCATAGTACGCGTACTGTTCTTACTTTTTGTCCTAGTGCACCACTTGGCAAGTGAGCTAACCGAGTCGATCACAGTGGTAGTGTGCAGATGTGTGCTTTGCGTGGCGAGCAAGACTTGGCCACCGATGCATGTGTCGCAATACGTGAAGTCGACCACACACCGCGCGAGAAAACCGTTGGGAATGGGGTACTATCACACGTGCTAAAGAGGTTGCGGCTATGAGGTATTTCATACCTCGTGTTGTATATACATACATACAGTATTGCACTTGCTGTACACTATTCAGGACGACTGATGATTTCTGGGAATCTGAATGTCGTTCAAAGAAGTCGACCTAATGATGATACTAATGCTAGAGGAAGCAGTGCTGTACAGGCCCAGGCCATTTGAAAAGAAAGAGCTGTCCTGGGTGTAGTTGACTTGTTTGCCTTGCCTTGCCTTTCTACCTCGTTACCAAGTACCGAGTTGTTGAAACATGTGTTATGTGGAGGATGGAGCAAGAGGATGGAATCATGGGGGAAAGTAGCCCAGCATCAAAGTGTACTAGTCATCTGTATGCTTTTGGTGGAACCCCCTAGTTATAAGAGGTTTCGTGAAACTCACGCACACACGCACACACACACACACTGACAAGTTCATAATTTCGCTGAAGCTGTTGGTAGAAGAAGTAACACTGTAGTTTTCTTGGTATGGTGTAGCATTACATCATTCTTCTCTCCCTACATCTCTGCCCCTGTTGTCTGTATCTGGGTTGGTTTCTGTTGTGGAAATATACTTCGTCTGTTAACCCACTTCAAGTCTTTGACTGTTCTCCTAACTGTTCTCCTGGCTTTGAACAGTGATTGTAAACAACACATCTAGTGTCTTGGTTATTCTTTGAACTATGTTTGATGTATTGTACATAATATGAGTAGCGCTTGCGTCGCCCCTGGCTTCTACCAGCTAGGAGGGTCTTGTTCTCTTGTGACCAATGAAGGCTCCAATAAATGATGTAATGTACACATAAGGTCATTGGAAAAGTTGAAGAGCAGAGAAAAAGGACAACAGAGACACAAAAGCAGTGACCAATGAAGTATTTCCTGGTATATAACTGAGTGTAACCCGGTACCTCGCCAGTAGCGCTTGCATCGCCCCTGGCTTCTACCAGCTAGGAGGGTCTTGTTCTCTTGTGACCAATGAAGGCTCCAATAAATGATGTAATGTACACATATAAGGTCATTTGAAAAGTTGAAGAGCAGAGAAAAAGGACAACAGAGACACAACACCAGTGAACACGGACAGTATTTCCTGGTATATAACTGAGTGTAACCCGGTACCTCGCCAGTAGCGCTTGCATCGCCCCTGGCTTCTACCAGCTAGGAGGGTCTTGCTCTCTTACAGTACGAGTCTCAGCACATTCAATAGATACGATACAGCTGCCATTAGACTTGGCTAGTGCTAGAAGTGTAGTACCAGCTAGGAGGGTCTTGTTCTCTTGTGACCAATGAAGGCTCCAATAAATGATGTAATGTACACATATAAGGTCATTTGAAAAGTTGAAGAGCAGAGAAAAAGGACAACAGAGACACAAAAGCAGTGACCAATGAAGTATTTCCTGGTATATAACTGAGTGTAACCCGGTACCTCGCCAGTAGCGCTTGCATCGCCCCTGGCTTCTACCAGCTAGGAGGGTCTTGCTCTCTTACAGTACGAGTCTCAGCACATTCAATAGATACGATACAGCTGCCATTAGACTTGGCTAGTGCTAGAAGTGTAGTACCAGCTAGGAGGGTCTTGTTCTCTTGTGACCAATGAAGGCTCCAATAAATGATGTAATGTACACATATAAGGTCATTTGAAAAGTTGAAGAGCAGAGAAAAAGGACACAGAGACACAAAGCAGTGACCAATGAAGTATTCCTGGTATATAACTGAGTGTAACCCGGTACCTCGCCAGTAGCGCTTGCATCGCCCCTGGCTTCTACCAGCTAGGAGGGTCTTGCTCTCTTACAGTACGAGTCTCAGCCACATTCAATAGATACGATACAGCTGCCATTAGACTTGCAGCTAGTGCTAGAAGTGTTAGTACCAGCTAGGAGGGTCTTGTTCTCTTGTGACCAATGAAGGCTC